TATTAAAAAAATATATATATGTTCACTATTACTTATAATTAAAAAATTCTGATTATTTTGATATTTATTTATTAATTATATGGTTTATATAAGTAAAATATAAAATACCTATTTATTTATATACGATAGGGATGATATTTATTAATGTTAACTCATATATTATTAAAAGGAGTGTTTTTTAATTTGGAGTTCACGTGTTTTATTTAATTACTGAGTTATTATAAATGACTTATTTTTTCAGTGTACTTACAAATCATTTCTTATGAAAATTTGTAAATATTCATATTAGCAATTGGAAAAAAATTAAATACTTTAGGCGTTATCAAACTGAAAGGAAATATTACGAATAAAGCGCCGTCTATTAAAACGAGATATTATATCTACTATATTACAAGGTCTATCATATAATCTTAATCCATCTCAGAGTTTGTAAGGAGCCACACATGTGTTGTTTAGCTATTTCTATTGTACTATTTCCTAGGATGTATGTCTGCATCTCTGTATACTTGTATGTACATGCCTGAACATATATACTTAAAACATTTGCCAAATATCGCATCTAACACTTTAACTGAAATTCATAACACGCAGCTGGCATTTGCTGTCTTCACCTGCTTATCTAGCATTACGCAAATGCTCAGACAAATCGCCTGGCAAAGCAAAAAGCTGATGAAAAAAAAAAAAAAAAAAAAAAAAAAATTACTCATTAAATTGCAAGCTCGACATTTGCGAAAAAAAACTTGTGAAGGATAAAAATAAAAAAAAAAATGGTGCAAGTGCAAGTGCTATGACAGGTGAAATAGAATAGAGGGTGAGAGAGAAAGAAAGCGCGGGAGACACCCTACTGCAATGGGGAGCTCGACGTATTACCCTTTACACCCGAAAAAACAGAGCGCCCATCTAGACGAAAAACGTGCTAAAACGTAAATCAACAGCGAAAATCGTGTTGAGCATTTTTCGCTATCCCCCTCCCCCCAAAAAAAGGAAAACAGAAAAATAGAGCAGGGAAAACGAAGAAAAAGCATAAACAGGAGTTGCTACGAACTGAAGGGGGCCGGAGGAGCAACCGGGAGAAGCTGGACTCGAAAGTTGAAAAGTGGCAAAAGTCCAGAGGGAATTGGAGATTGGACATGGCTTTTGGCGACGACCCCCAGCTAGTGGGCAGGAGCGGGGCGTGGCGCAAGGGTTTGCAGCTGCTCTAGCTGCCGACTCCTGTCTCCTGTCGCCTTCGCAACGTAATTCAATATGCAATGCCGTGCTAAAAGCTGTAAAAATGCTTAAGCGTTTTTCAATTTACCAGTTTTATTTTACGAACAGCTTTTCCAGCTAACACAGCCACACACACACACAGACAAACACACAGACATTGACCGGAATGAGATTTGCAGCTAACTCAAATTTCTTAAATGTTTTGTCGAACATTTGCAAGTGGCCGTTGCTTGGGGCAGAGAGCAGAAGTGGAAACTTCAGCAGTTTTGTAACGTGCAATGACATTCGACACGGCAGGTTGATGTCCTTAAAAGCTGACTTGACTTGGACAATAACTGCAGAGCCCATTAAGGGAGGGGTGGGCCATAAATGGAGCACAGCGACTAATTGCATTCTCGCTACTTCATAGATTTGCGAGATATTGCACCACGGTTTGACTTAAATGAATTTGATTTTAAATCATTAATTAATGTATCTAATTAAAATATATATATAATATGTGTGTTAATATTTAAGAAAGAAAAGGGGTTTATTAGAGACTGAAATTACATTCGCTGGCATTCTCGTCTTATAAAGAGTTCAGATTTTCAAGGACCCACAAAGACAAAAAAAAAATTTTTTTGTTTTCAATTCAATAAAGACTTTATTCATTATCAATTCTATAAATTCTAGATATGAGGAGTGCAAATATATGTACTCTGGAAGAAAACGATAACCACTCTTCATATTTAAAATAATATAATAATTTTGGAAGTTATTATAGACTTCAAATTAATATCTACAGTACAAGGCAGAACCTTAAATTGATATATATATTCAAGTGCGATATTTTCTACTATTAACAATGAAATAAATAATGTTTTTTAATAAATCCATTTTGCAATATCCTGTCGAAAATTGTAATTCATACAAGTCCCCAACCTCTGGCCACATAACAAAATATTTCCTGTAATATGAAACTTTTTGTTCCTGTCCTGGCTCTCACAGGGCGAAAACTGCAAACGCTGCAATTTGCGACGAAAAACAATTAAACTTGAACTTTTGTCACCGAGAAAGAAACAAAAACTACAGAAAATAAAAAACAATAAAAACGCAGCACAAACTGAAAGAGCAGCGCGAAAATTGTCGCATCAGCAAAAATAAGGCGACAGCAGCAGAGTCCGCACAGAGTACAGGACAGGACACGGCAGGACGGAAAGTTTTTGCTCCTAGTTGGCGCTAATTAATTTTTATTTATTACGTATACGAACGGGCAGCCAGCGAATGCGGCTATTCAGCCAATGAAATTATTTGACCACACAACCAAAAAATATAATTAAATTTTCTAACAACCTTTCCTCCTTCCTTTGCAGGCAAACATGCTCGCGTGGACCCACAGCAAACGGCACTGGACGGTAATTAATATAACATATAAGCTGTATTATTTGATTTGCAGTCGAGCAGTATGTATACGCAATGTGCGCTAGCGAGAGTCTGCACAAGTGCAAGAAAGAAAATATTATTTGACATTTGTGAGGAAAATCGAATGTCATTCAAAGAAGCTTTGAATTAACTGAGAGTCATTTTGTTTGAACTTTCACAGATGCGGACATGCCCCGATTTGCGGAACCCATTGCCAATGTGACCGTCTCCATTGGCCGCGATGCACTGCTCGCCTGTGTCGTTGAGAATCTAAAGGGCTATAAAGTGGCCTGGGTGCGCGTCGATACCCAGACAATACTCTCCATACATCACAACGTGATATCACAAAATAATCGCATCAGTTTGACCTACAATGATCATCGATCGGTAAGCATTCGCAGAAGATATTTACATTGATTTTTGATTCAATATTTTTATTATTTTAAGTATAAAAATGTGTTCAGTATTTATTATAGAGTTTTTGAAGTATAATTTGAAGACAACTGATTTCGAATATCATTTAAGAAAATAAAACTTCATTTCAATCTAAAATTATTAAACTAAATTAAAATATATGTATACATTTTTAAAATTTTATCGGTATTAATCTGTTTATTTAATGTATCTATTTATTTATGATAAAAAATAATGATAAATAGATATAATTGTTATTTAACTTAATATAATAATTTTGTATACTAAATATATATTTATTTATTTATGAAAAAACAATGATAAATACAATTGTTTTAAATATTATTTTTACT